AAGTATTGGAGTTAGGAAGTTTTTCTCACTTTATTTAAGGGTACATGATAGCAATTTTGTTTTTATTTTTTATTTCTTATGTTCTTCCTTTTGCATTTAACTTATTATTATCTGTCCCAGTAATTTTATCTAGTTATATTCAAGTATATGTTAAGCAAGAATACAGTTAACAATTGAAATGTTTCTTTCTTTCTTCCAATTAAGGTTTATTTCAGAGCAGGATGGCGGTTGTTAAAATCTGGTAGTGATCAGTACATTGACGGCATATTCTTATGTGTCTAATTGTTCTACTTCCAATCAAACAATTTACTTATTTAAATGATGGCCGGTGTTTTCATATATATTGTTAACACTTAAAAATACTGTCTGTTTAGTCTGGAAAGCAAGTGAGGCTTTGCACCATGCAGTGTAAAATGAACCACCTTTGTCACAGGCAACAGGGGAAGTGTTGCAATGAATATGGTAAAACAGTACCTTTTCATTTCCACTTTAAAGGTGTGCTGCTGAGAAAGGAATACGGTGAATAAAGGATAGTTTGGGTATTGAGTTAAACGTTTTTTCATTAGTTATAAAGTACCACTATGAAATTGGCATCTTAAGTTTTAAATTAAAAATGTGTAGATTTGGGTTACTGAAATAGAATTTCTTTTTTCTAGGATTTTGCTAATATAATGAAAATGCTGAGAAGCCTGATTCAAGATGGCTATACAGCTTTGCTGGAGCAGCGATGCCGCAGTGCCGCACAGGCCTTCACAGAGCTGCTGAACGGCTTAGATCCTCAAAAAATAAAGGTACGTTTTCCATGTCATAACTTGTTTGTCAGTGCTAATGCACCTCAAATGAATGCAGAAGAGAAACAAAGCTTTAACTCACTGTAGTACTATTCCTAAGACCTTGCTGAGATTGGCTTCAGGTTATGGGAAGCAGGTAGTGCTCCAGTTCAGACTTCATGAGTAGGCTCAATACATGATCCTTGTTTATACTTTCTCCTTGACTATAGTTTAGGGTCATTAGAACTGGCTTTTCCTCTAAATAAAGGATTTCAACTCACTTTAGTCACATCTTTTCATCTAGGAAGAAAGTACAGGCACACTTCATTTCATTATGCTTCACGTCATTGCACTTTGCAGACAATGCATTTTTCACATATTGGAGATTCGTGGCAACCCTGCGTCAAGCAAGTCTGTTGGTGCCATTTTTCTGAAAGCATGTGCTCACCTCATGTCTCTGTGTCACATTTTGGTAATTCTCACAATGTGTCAAACTTTTTTATTATCATTATTACTATATCTGTGATTAGTGATCTTCGATGTTACTATTGTAATTGTTTTTAGGGCACTACAACCTGTGCCTGTGTAAGAAGGGAACTTAATAAATGGTGTTTGTCCAGTTAGAATGGCAGCCATTAAAAAATCTGGAGACACCAGATGCTGGAGAGGATGTGGAGAAATAGGAACACTTTTACACTGTTGGTGGGAGTGCAAATTAATTCAGCCATTGTGGAAGGCAGTTTGGTGATTCCTCAAGGATCTAGAAATAGAAATACCATTTGACTCAGCAATCCCATTACTGGGCATATACCCAAAGGATTATAAATCATTCTGTTATAAAGACACATGCACATATATGTTCATTGTGGCACTGTTCACAATAGCAAAGACTTGGAACCAACCCAAATGCCCATTGATGATAGACTGGATAAAGAAAATGTGGCACATACACACCATGGAATACTATGCAGCCACAAAGAGGATGAGTTCATGTCCTTTGCAGGGTTGTGGTTGAAACGGGAAACCGTCATTCTCAGCAAACTGACACAAGAACAGAAAACCAAACACTGCATGTTCTCACTCATAAGTGAGTGCTGAATGATGAGAACACATGGTCACAGAGAGGGGAACATCACACACTGGGCCCTGGGGGATTGGGTGCTAGGGGAGGAATAGCAGGGGTGGGCAGAGTGGAGAAGGATAGCATTAGGCGAAATACCTAATGTAGATGAAGGGGCAATGGATGCAGCAAACCACCACCATTACATGTGTATACCTGTGTAGCCTGCACGATCTGCACACGTACCCTAGAACTTGAAGTATAATAAAGAAGAAACGGATGTACATGGACAAATAAGTATCTATTTAAAGCTTGAGAAAGAACATTAAAAAAAATAAAATAAATGGTATGTGTGTGTATCTGTTGTTTCCACCTCCTTCTTTAAGTCTCCATATTGTTCCCTGAGACACGATATTGAAATTAGGCCAGTTAATGACCCTACAGTGGCCTCTAAGTATTCAAGTGAAAGGAAGACTACATGTCTCTAACTTTACATCGAAAAGTAGAATGATTAAGCTTCATGGGGAAGGCATGTTGAAAGCCAAGATAGGCAGAAAGCTAGTCCTCTTGTGCCAAATAGCCAAATTGTGAATGCGAAGGACAAGTTTTTGAAGGAAATTAAAAGTGCTACTTTAGTGAACACATAAATGACAAGAAAGGAAATAACTTTCTTGCCAATGTGTAGAGTCTTAGTTGTCTGGGTAGAAGATCTAACCAGCCACAACATTCCCTTAAGCCAGAGCCTAATCCAGAGCAAGGCCCTATTCTGTGAAGGCTGAGAGAAGTTCGGAGGCTGCAGAGGAAAAGTTTGAATCTAGCAGAAATTGGTTCATGAGACTTAAGGAAAGAAGCCGATTCCGTAACATGAAAGTGCAAGATGAAGCAGCAAGTGCTGATGGAGAAGCTGCAGCAAGTTACTGAGATCTAGCGAAGATCATTGGTGGAGGTGGCTACACTAAACAACGGATTGTCAATGGAGACAAAACGTCGTTGGAAGAAGATGCCATCTAGGACTTTCATAGCTAGAGAGAAGTCAGTGTCTGATTTCAGAGCTTCAAAGGACAGCTCCTTACTCATTATGGGCCAATACAACTGGTGACTTAAGTTGGAGCCAGTGCTCATTTACGTTCCAAAAATCCTCAGGCCCTTAAGAATTATGCTAATTCATTCTGCCTAGAGCCCTAGAAATGGAACAAAAAGCATGAATGATGGCACATCTGCTTATAGCGTGGTTTACTAAGTACTTTAAGCCCACTGTTGAGACCTACTGCTCAGAATAAAAGATTCCTTGCAAAATACTACTGCTCATTGACAATGCACCTGATTGCCCAAGAAACCTGATATACATGTACAAGGAGATGAGTGTTGTTTTCATGCTCACTAACACAATATCTATTATGTAGTCTATGATCAAAGAGTTATTTTGACTTTCAATTCTTATTATTTAAGAAACATATTTTATAAGGCTATAGCTGCCATAGTGATTCCTGTGTTGGATCTGGGAAAAGTAAGTTGAAAACCTTCTGGAAAGGATCACCACTCTAGATACCACTAAGAACATTCATGATGCATGGGAGAGATCAAAATATCAACATTAACAGGAGTCTGGAAGAAGTGAATTCCAGCCCTCATGGATGACTTTGAGGGGTTCAAGGCATTAGTGGCGGAAGTCACTGCAGATGTGGTGGAACAAGCAAGAAAACTAGAATTAGAAGTGGAGCCTGAAGACGTGACTGATTTGCTGCAATCTCTTGATAAAACTTGAAGGGATGAAAAGTTGCTTCTTACAGATGAACAAAAAAAGTCGTTGCTTGAAATGGAATCTACTCCTTTAGAAGATGCTGTGAATATTGTTGAAATAATCTTAGTTGCTCAAGCAGTGGCAGGATTTGAGGGGATTCACTCCAGTTTTGAAAGAGGTTATGGTATAGGTAAAATGCTGTCAAACAGCATCACATGTTACAGAGAGTCAGTCAGTACGAGAGACTTCATTGTTGTCTGATTTTAAGAATTGCCACAGCCACGTTCCTTTTCAGCAGCCACCATCCTGAACAGTTAGCAGTCGTCAATATCAAGGCAAGACCATCCACCAGCAAAAAGATTATGACCCACTGAAGCCTCAGAGGATCATCAGCATTTGTAGCAATAAAGTTTTTAAAATTAAGGTGTGTACATTGTTTTATAGACATAATGCTGCTTCACACTTAATAGACTACAGTAGCACTTAAACGTAACTGTTAATGTGCAGTAGAAAACCCACAGGTTTGTGAGACTCACTTGATTGTGATACTTGCTTTATGGTGATGCTCTAGAACCGAGCCCATGGTACCTCTGAGGTACGCCTGTAATAACCAAGTAAACGTCTTGATCTGTCACTAGTACCCCTTACATGCAAAATAATATGACTTTAATTAGAAATTAATCTATTTTGAACCATGCCTCAAGGAACTTTGAGACAGTGATTCTGGGTTTTAAATAGCGTGTAATTGCTTTATTAGGACCAAAATCCCTTTTCTAATTTGATTTGGACAGTCATATTGATTAGTGAGATTTTATGACAGTCATTGATTGTAAGATTGATTAGTGAGATTCTATTACACTTCTTCTGTTGTGACTGGAAGGTCAGTGCAAACTGAGCAGAATTATGTTCCGATTTTTAACTGAGGAATTTTTATTGACAGCAACTGAACCTGGCCATGATTAACTATGTCTTGGTTGTCTATGGACTTGCCGTTTCTCTCCTTGGAATAGGGCAGCCTGAGGTAAGATGTGTAACAGAGGTAATAAACAATTAAAATGATATTGACATATCTTATAATATTCTTCTCATTTTGACCCATTTCCTTCTCTGTACCTTCTAATAATTTTGTCTGAAATCTCTCAGTTTGATTTAGTTTGTGTTTTTAAAGAAAACAAAAAGGCTTTGCCAGGCAATCATTGGGAATCTACTTTTTATTTGTATAAAAAGTAAAGAATGTAATATATAGATAGATTTTAGAAACATAATCTTGAGGGAAAAGCAAGTTGGAGGACATAAACATTGTGATCCCACTGATAGACAGTTTGGAAAACATATGTAACAGTACTGTATACTGCTTATGAATACCTGTGCCTATTGTAAAAAAGTGAAAAGATATAATGTTTATATCAAATTTAAGCTAATGGCTGACCTTAGTGATGGCATGAGGGAATGGACCTGGAGGCTTGTGTGTTATGCTGTTTTCCTAGAAAAACAAAGGTAACAAGGGTAATGTTAGCATCTCTTATTTATAGGTACAAAGTACTTGGGTATTGTATTATTTCTAGATCGCAGGCTTCCCGTTACTGCATGTAGTCAGTGTATAGACATGAGCTCCCAGGATTTCCATTAGATATGCTCCTGCCTTGCTCTCCTGGAATGTTTACCTACCTGTACTGTTTGGCATTATAACTTTGCTTTCTGAGGTTTTGAGTTTGCTATAAATGTTGAAATGCTCTAAAATGACCTCAAGTATAATAAATAATTTGGGTTCTGTTTTTCCCTGTCTAGATGAAGGTTTAACCTACCTTCCTACCTAGTGAGGATCTAAGTAGTCTTTTACGTTCTGTTCTCTCCCAGAAGTCCACAGTGCCCAAGGTTTTTTTGTCACAGATTAATAATGTCTTCCATGAATGCTGTCTAATTCTATTTTCCAAGAGACAGTTGGAGACAGGACTTCAGGATTTTAATTTTATTCCTGACAGAATAATAATAAATACCATATTTTACCTTATTAGAATTGAAGAAATCATTTATTACATTTGTGATTTAATGTAAAATAGACTGATTTGGAAAAAAAAAAAACAAGTGTTATAGTAGAACTTACATGTTTAAAAGAATTTCATCAGAGGACAGCCCTTGCTTCAGACATTTTTAGAATGCCTCCTTTGGAACTGGTCTCAAAGCTTCATTTTATAGTGACATTTCCTTTTTTTCACTCACAGTAGGGTTACCAGTATTTCTTAGAGCTAAATATCTTTTGGATGTTTTCTAAAAGCAAAATTCATTCAACTTAGTGGTTTTTCACTGTTGAGAATATTCAAAAAAGAATGTACTCTAAGCTATGTTAAGTTTTTACTAAGGGACTGTTTTTAAGACAGAGCTTTCATCGGTCTTATGATACAAAAGACTGTGACAACATCATTGGAATGGCATTCCTTCCAAGGGAATAGCACTTAATAGGATCTATGTTATGGTGTGTTTACACCAAAATTAGCCTTTAGAAAAGAGCACACACGATTTTACTCTTTTTAGTATCAGCCAACACACATCAGGTCCTTAGTGTGTACTAGTAGATGCTCATAGGTTGATTGTCTGATGTGTGCAGCAGGATTGGTTTGGTTGTGTCTCTGAATAGCCATATGATCAGAGATTTATGTAATTCCTAAGAAAATGAAACACAGAGGTATAATTTTGCCACAGGAATTTGGGGATATGCAGCTGTTATTTTAATATTTTAAAAGAAGATCGGCCTTCAGATAAAACTTATTCCAGTATTTCTCTTTGTATGTAAGTGATCATTGTTTTCACTGCTATTGAAGGAATTATCTGAAGCTGAAAACCAGTTTAAGAGGATTATTGAACACTACCCCAATGAGGGACTTGACTGCCTGGCCTACTGTGGAATTGGAAAAGTATATTTGAAAAAAAACAGGTTAGTAGAAGTGACACTACTTTAAGCTCTCGGCTGGTAACTCATTTAAAATCCAATGTGTTAATGATCCATTTTCTGGAATTGCTCTGGTATCTCCTATGTAGCACACTGTCCTAATTGTGATTTACTTTGAGGACCTGGCATTTCACTGTCAACATTAATTGTTAAAGCAAGGCTAGTCATTGCAGTTCTTGGCACTTCCTGATTTTGAATCTGTTAAGAAAGTCAACAATACAGTTATTTGACATTAAAGATTTAATAGTCTTTAGTATACATCATCTATAGATAGTGAATGAATTGATATAAATTAATGCTTTGAAAATCCAATTATATAATTTTTTTGGTTTAATTGTTTTAAAAAATCTGTATGAAGATGGTTTTAAATAAGAGGTATATATGTGTTCAAAGACATCATGAGTCAGGAATAAAAATCTCTCCTCTGCACTCTACTGTAGTTGTCATCCTTACTCACAGTTTAATACCGAAGCAGTTCTCAGCCAGGCGCTGTGACTTACACCTGTAATCCCAGCACTTTGGGAGGCTGAGGCGGGTGGAACATCTGCGGTTAGGAGTTGAAGACAAGCCTAGACAACATGGTGAAACGCCATCTCTAGTAAAAATACAAAAATTAACTGGGCATGGTGGAGGGCGCTTGTAATCCCAGCTACTCGGGAGGCTGAGGCAGGAGAATCGCTGCCTCCCAAGTAGGAAGGTGGAGGTTGCAGTGAGCCGAGATCACACCACTGCACTCCAGCCAGGGCTACAGAAGGGAAACTTTGTCTTAAAAAAAATTGAAGCTGTTCTCTAAATGCCTCATATCTCGTAGACTTATCTCCCCAAATTTCAGTATGTCCCTGAGGGGACAGGATTATTTCTTGAGCTTTAAAAAAAGAAAATCTCTGTTTCTGTCACTTGTACCCAATATAGTGGTAGATACATTAGGTTTCTTTATAAAGAAATAATTGTTGGCTGATTGAATATTATTCAAATTTTTGAATTATTTTTCAATTTTCATTTAACTTTTTAGGGGAAATTTTATGAGATTTTGGCAGAAGCCCCACCCCCTTGTTCTTAGAATGTGCCTAGAACCTCCTTTATGGATTTATTTAAATGAAAGACAGTTTTCTTTCGGCTGGGTGTGGTGGCCCATGCCTCTAATCCCACCACTTTGGGAGGCTAAGGCAGGTGGATCACCTGAGGTCAAGAGTTCAAGACCAGCCTGACCAACATGGTGAAACCCTATCTCTACTGAAAATACAAAAATGAGCTGGGCATGGTGGCATGTACCTGTAATCCTAGTTACATGAGAGGCCAGGATAACATTAAATATTTAATAGTCTTTAGTATACATCATCTATAGATAGTGAATGAATTGATATAAATTAATGTTTTTAAAATCTGATTATATAATTTTTGGTTAAATAATTATTTTCAAAAATCTATGTGAAGGTGGTTTTAGATAAGAGGTATATTTGCCTTACCACTGTGTTGGTCAGGCAGGAGAATTGCTTGAACCCAGGAGGCGGAGGTTGCAGTGAGCTGAGATCACACCACTGCACTCCAGCCTGGGCAACAGAGCCACACTTCATCTCAAAAAAAAAAAAAAGAAAGTTTTCATTTTATTTCGTGAAATTACTGTCTCTCTTAGCTGAGCTATATTAAGGATCAAGTAGATGCAGGGAAGGTAGAGACTTAGCAATCACCTTTACAGAAATACCAAATGAAACTAATTTATAAGTTTAGTATAAGGCCAGTGCGGTGGCTCACGCCTGTAGTCCCAGCACTTTGGGAGACCGAGGTGGGTGGATCACGAGGTCAAGAGATTGAGACCATCCTGGCTAACATGGCAAAACCCTGTCTCTACTAAAAATACAAAAAATTAGCCGGGCATGGTGGCACATGCCTGTAATCCCAGCTACTTGGGTGGCTGAGGCAGGAGAATTGCTTGAACCCAGGAGGCAGAGGTTGCAGTGAGCCAAGATTGTGCCATTGCTCTCCAGCCTGGGCAACAAGAGCGAAACTCCGTCTCAAAAAAAAAAAAAAAAGTTTAGTATAAATTGTTTAGGATATACACCCATTTGGTGTAGTGGTTACATGCAAATTCACAAGGTCTAGAAAAATTACATAAATTTAGAATCATGGAGATTGTACAAAACTAGAAAGTCTTTGCCATATTGAAAAGCATTTACATTTAATTTCTGAATAATATGGTGTGGGACTAAATAGCTAATATGCTGTTTTTTGATGTTGCAATATGCAGCTTCTGCTTTGAAAGCCTATTATTTATAACTGTTTTATGGTAGATGGTGGTCTAGCTTTTCTGCACATAAATCTTACTATAACTATAGGCAAAATAAGTTTTTAAATTGGGAAGTCATTTCAGGATTGGAGAAAGCAGGAAACTCTTCTCCAGTGTGAAGAGAAGAATAAAGACTTAACATTTGCTTTTCCTTGAGACAGAGTTTTGCTCTTGTTGCCCAGGCTGGGGTTCAATGGCACAATCTTGACTCACTGCAACCTCCGCCTCCTGGAGGTGATTCTTCTACTTCAGCCTCCCAAGTAGCTGTGATTACAGGCATGTGCCACCACACTCAGCTGATTTTGTATTGTTAGTAAAGATAGGGTTTCACTATGTTGGTCAGGCTGGTTTTGAATTCCTGACCTCAGGTGATCCCCTGCCTTGGCCTTACGAAGTGTTAAGATTTCAGGCATGAGCCACCACGCCTGGCCTTGGTCAACTTTATAATCCAGTGCTTTAGTATTCTTTCACTGAATGGACTGTGGGAATCTATTGACATTATTTCTTAAACTCATGAGTCAAATCAGAAGTAAAACATTTTATATTTACAGTTAAAGCAATTTAAATACACATTTAAATATTTGTTTTGTTAAAATAATTCACTGTTTTATGGTTGAGAGAAAATATCCAGAATACATGATGCCTTAAAATTTTTTTTAGTGGAGCAATTTTTACTGCCATTGTCCTAAGAGTCAAATTTTTAAAAATTCCACTATTTATAAATTATTAGTTGAAGTGGAGGTTTGCTACTTCTCTATAAGAATCTACTTTCATTAGTTTAATTAATGAAACAAACAAAGATTGAACAGATTATTCACTTTTCTGTTTCAATTGTCAGAAACTTTAAAAAATAAATACCAACTTTAAAAGAAATAATATACACCTACCACGATAAAGCACTGGCTTTATCCAGGATGAGTTGTTTAATGTCTGTTACTTTTATAGCAAACAGCAATAGTGACTTTATTTTTTTAAAGAAAATATGGGTTACATTGAATATTGCTGTTCAGTGAGTCATCAACTGTATTCTTCCCAGTAAGCTTAAGATCTTTGGTGACTTTTGTTGTGGGGATTGAAGGTACCATTTTACATCTTTAATGCCTTTTTCATAATCATGACTTTAGATTTCTAGAAGCTCTCAATCACTTTGAGAAAGCAAGAACCTTGATTTATCGTCTTCCTGGAGTGTTAACTTGGCCCACAAGTAATGTGATTATTGAAGAGTCTCAGCCAGAAAAAATAAAGGTAACCATTTGTTTTTGCAGAGTGTTTCTTACTGTGAATGCCCGTCTGCATTGACGGACTCAGGTATCAGGAGGCAGGGAGGTAGGAGCACTCCATCCCCACCTCCCCGACATGCGTTTCCCCTCTACAGTCTAATGAGAATCTCTGATATTTACTGAATGTTTTCTATGAGCCAGTCACATATCTTCCATTAATCATTACGCTTCATCCTTACGGCAGCCCTCTTCCGGGGGGGGGGGGGTGTACTGTGATCATTTCCACTTTACAGATGAGAAAGGTTAAGTTTAGAGAGGTGAACTGATGCACTCAAGGTGAAACAGCAAATGGTGATCCTGGGACTTGAGTCCAGGCATTCTGACTTCCGAGTATTCATGACCGTGCGGTATGCTGGACTTGGTTGTACTTAGAGAAGTATAATATTGTTGTTTCATTATAAAGTTGTCACAGTTACTGAGATGGTACTTGAAGATTCAGAAAAATAGGAATTTAGCCTCATATCCAGAAGCATAAGGATGCTTTTACATGTGAATTGATGAAGATAGCTTTTACTTGTAGTGAACTCTTCACTTGTACTCAGAACTTGATTTTGGCTGAAGCTTTTAAAACCACAGAAGTCAACTCTTACAACTCAATAATAGAAGAACAAATAGTCTAATCTAAGAGGTAGACAAAGGATCTGAATAGACATTTCTGCAAAGAAGATATACAAATGGCCAATTAGCACATAAAAAAACTTAAGCATCACTAACTGTCAGAGAAATACAAATCAAGACCACAGTGAGATACCATTTCACACTCACTAGGCATGTGGGTAGACAATATTGGCAGGGATGTCTATTGAAAAACAAGAACATTCAGACATTGCTGGTGGTAATGTACAATGATGCAGCTGCTTTGGAAAATAGTCTGGCAGTTCTTCAAACAGTTAAACATAGAGTTATCATGTCTCAGTGCATTTGTGTTGCTATAAAGGAGTACCTGAGGCTGGATTTATGAAGAAAAGTTAGCTTATGGTTCTGCAGGCTGTATAAGAAGCATGGTGCCAGCATCTGCTTCTGGTGAGGGCCTCCAGCAGCTCCCATTCATGTCAGAAGGCATAGGAGAGCCAGTCTGTAGAGATCATTTGGTTAGAGAAGGGGAAGTGCCAGGCTCTTTTTAACAGCCAGCTCTCTAGGGAACTAATGGAGTGATAACTCACTCACCCCAGGGAGGGAATTAATCTATTCATGAGAGATTTGTCCCAACAAACACCTCTCACTCAAACACCTGACTCAAACACCTCCCACTATGCCTCCACGTCCAACACCAGGGATCAGATTTCAACATGTAGTTTGGAGGGTCAAACATTCAGTATGCTAATATGGTATGCTAATACCTTATGACCCAGCAATTTCACCCCTAGGTGTGTGCAAAGAAAGGAAAACATATAAAAACTGGTACATGAATATTCATAGCAGCATTAGTTATAATAGCCTTAAATGGGAAATAGCCCAAGTGTTGGTCAACTGATAAGTGGGTAAATAAGTATTGGAACCTGGGAGGTGGAGGCCACAGTGAGCCGTGATTGCGCCACTGCACTGCAGCCTGGGCAACAGAATGAGACTCTGCCTCAAAAACAGATGGCCAGGTGTGGTGGCTCATGCCTATAATCCCACCACTTTGGAAGGCCAAAGCAGGAGGACTGCTTGAGCTCCGGAGTTCAAGACCAGCCTGGGCAACATGGCGAAACCCATCAATACAAAAATTAGCCAAACATGGTGGCACACACCTGGAGTCCTAGTTACTCAGGAGGCTGAGGTGGGAGGATCAGTTGAGCCCAGGAGGCAGAAGCTGCAGTGAGCTGAGGTTGTGCTGCCACTGCACTCCCAACTTGAGTGACAGAGTGAGACTCTGTCTCAAAAAAAAAAGAGTACTGATAACATGCAGGAGCATAGATGAACCTTGGAAACATTGTGCTAAGTAAGAGAAGCCAAACCCAAAGGGTTTGTGTGAGTCCATTCATTTGAAATCTCCAGAACAGGCAAATCTGCATATGATAACAGAGGGTAGACTACTAGTCTTGCTGGGTCTAGGAGGTTAGGGGAAGATGAGGAGGGACTGCTAATGCATATGGAGTTTCTTGTTGACAATGTTCTAAACTTAGATTGTGGTGATAGCGGTACACCCTGTGAATATGCTAAAAACCACTGAACTGTACACCTTATTTGAATTGTATAGTGTGTTAATTATATCTCAGCAAAACTGTTATAAAAAATAAAACAGAGAGATTCTTGGATTTTCTTCTTTCCATACAAGATTGGGGTGGAGGCAGAGGAGCTATTGATAACAAAAAGCCAGCACTGGAAGCATAGCATGAACCTCTTGCGGGCTTCATTAGCAATGGAATAATTCTCCAGGGAGTCCACAGACCACAGTGGCAGAGATGGCAGGAGGAAGATGAATGGGAGTGTTAGGATCCTGGGCGAGGTGCTGTTGGGCAAGCGGAGTGGGGTAAAGTCCTCAGGACTACCCTAAGGGTTATTCCGTCTCACTTGACTTCCTCTTAATGCTTATGGGAGATTTCTGAGAGCTGTAAATTTTAAAACGAGATTTGATGATTGTAACAGGACAAAATTTTGATTCTGTCAAAATTCTGAAAATTTTGTTCAGTTCTCTTTTTAAATCTCTCCTATATCTCTGTATCAGCCTTCATTTTTAAAGGAAAAACTTTAAAAGTTGTATGTAGCTTGCTGTCACTGAAAAAATGTGCTCATTCCTATGCTGAAGATATTTTGATGGTAAGTGGTTACTGAAATCACAAGTATTTTTATCGACAGATTAGTATTGTAATGGTATCATTTTTGTTCCTTTTATTTTAGATGCTGTTAGAGAAATTTGTTGAAGAATGCAAGTTCCCTCCAGTGCCAGATGCCATTTGTTGCTATCAGAAGTGCCGTGGATATTCTAAGATCCAGATTTACATAACTGATCCAGACTTTAAGGTAAATAATGAGCTTACGATGGGACAGTAACTTGCAAAATCACTCCTTAAAATGGGCTCAAAACAAATTCTGTAATTGGAGGCACCCAAGTTCTCTGGCTAGTTAGCAGTTTTGTGTCCTCTTGTCCATCCCATTACCTGGACTTTTTTAGGTCTGCATCATCTCCCATGGGAACCAGAGCCACTGTCATAAATACTGTGGGCTGGGGTGGTGACCTGAGAAGGCAGGCTTGGGCTGGGGTAGTGACCTGAGAAGGCAGGCTGGCTCATTTCTTTCCTTCTCCCAGCTTCCTTCGCAGGGTAGGAAACAACATGAGATTGTTACCTCTGATTTGTTGCAATTCCAATCTCTCATAAAATTTGAGTCCAGAATCTAAAGGTCATTGTGATCGCTGAATTAGCTGCTAGAGACCTCAATTTGAGATCAGTCTGGCACTTAATTAAGCTATACTGGTTATTCAAGAAGATAGTAGCTGTCCCCGTCCTACTGTCCCACTGTCCCTGGTTAGTAAGTCAGATGGAATAATGTTTATAAAATATTTGATATAAAGAATAATGCAACTTTATGCTGTGGAAATAAATATGTTAGTCAAGCTTTCTCTATGTGTGTTGTAGTGAGTGTGTGTGCAGACATCTTTAAAATGTTAATTACATTTTTTTTGAAACCCTAGGGTTTTATTCGAATCAGCTGTTGCCAATACTGTAAAATAGAATTTCACATCAATTGCTGGAAGAAGTTAAAAACTACAACCTTTAATGATAAAATTGACAAGGTAAAGCATAACAAGATTGTCTGGATTTTTCAGTATACTTATTGTATATCAGCTTCCCCCCTCTCCAAAGAATTCCTTCCTAAACATTCTGCACATAATTAGAAAGTTATAAATTATAATTTCAATAATAGAGTGGAAAATGAGGTTTTGTTTTTATTTATACAATTGTAAAGGCAGTAACCATGGAGGCTTTGTTTTTTTAGAGACAGGTCTCACTGTGTTGCCCAGGCTAGAGTGCAGCGGCACAGTCGTAGCTCACTGCAGCCTCTGACTCCTTGACTCAAGTCATCCTCCTACTTGAGCCTCCCAAAGTGCTGGGATTATGGGCATTCGCCACTGTGCCAGGCCCCACATGAAAGTTTTGATGGGGAATTAAGAGTTTTCAAAACAAAAATAGGATGAGGTAATTTGTACTAAGAAGTCAACTCAAAACAAATATTTTTAATGTTGGGAAAAAGAATCAACTTCAATTTTAAACTGCCATTCCTCACCAGGGATTTTCTTATCAATATAATGATGTTAATTACCATTAAGTAGACATACATTGAGGGAAGGCACAATATTACAATATTACTTGTATTCATAGAATTTGTTTGATCTATAGAAACTGTGGACTTTTTCTTACACCGCACAGGCTTATGCAGTCACTGTTCTTACTGGGGAAAGAAGAAGGCAGTTGTACTAGGTGTCTGCTAACAATAGCAATTACTAAAGTTTGGTAGAAATAAATCCTCACATTTTGTGCATTTCACATAATTAATGAACAATGTAATGATATACTGTAAATAACAGTCACCTTAGAGTCACTTCTGCTATGTCCTTGGCTTACCTAAATTGAGTTTCTCTAGTGATACTCCCTCTTTTAGTGGTCTTAACCATTTAAATATGCTCTGTAAATTAGTCAGCTTTCACTAGGATATGCCCAAGTAATATACAGCCCAAATATCTTGCGGCATACATTCAGAGAGATTTGTGTTTTGCTTACATGACTTGTCCTGCAGTTCTGCAGTTGGCTGGGACTGAGCTGTGGCAGTTCTATTCTGTGTGGCTCTGTTCTTTGTTTCTCAATCCATGTTGAAGAGTGACCCGTTTCTGGACCATCTTCCTGTGTCAGAGGAAAAAGAACATGTCCAGTCTATGACGTGGTGTTTGTTAAACTTTTTGCCTAGACATGTATATGACATGTCTGGTCACTTGCATTGATGGCACATGGTCAGACCCCCACCTGGAAGTATATTTTTCCTACATGGAAGCTTTAAATTTGCATGGCAATGAGTAGAGATTTTCACCACTTCCCTGACGATGGTTTTAGTCCATATTTTGACTGTTCTTAATGGTAAAAGTAGTATACATGTATAGATTTATCTCCCCAGACATAACATTTTTCTTTTTTCTTTTTTTTTAATAGGATTTTCTTCAAGGAATATGTCTTACCCCTGACTGTGAAGGTATTATTTCTAAGATTATCATCTTCAGTAGCGGTGGTCAAGTTAAATGCGAAGTAAGTAATAAAAGGAAACCTTATTAAAGAGATAACCAAAATGTTTGCACCTTTTGAAACATGATTTGAATTTGTAGAAGTAGTGTAATTTGGATTTTTTCCAGGAAAGAAACAATTACTTCATTTAAGAAAATACAGGAAGTACTCTGATGTGAGAATGCTTCACTGTAATAAAAGCATTCTAATATTCTTTTATTTCTTAATAGGAAAAGGAGGCTTCTTGCATATTAGTTTTACTGTCTTTATTCTTTTTGATAACTCCATTTTCTTAATCCCAGTAAACTTTTGGGAATTTGTGGGTATGCAGGTTTTTAGGGAGGGGGAAGAGTGTCTTGGGGGATTATCTCTAACTTCATGACATGGGAGTGGCAGGAGTGGGTAGTCATAATAATTTAAGTTGCACTTTATTAGATTGTCTGCTAACTCTTGATTTAAAACCTTTTTCCTAAAGTGTGTCTACTCTCTTGTTCCTCTTCAGTAAATTATTTTGCTTAAGCTTTCTGGGATTTCGTCTGGGTCAGAACAACATCACTGTTCTCTATCAAACTGAACATTGTGTGTGTTTCTGAAATACTTGTTGCTTGTGGTTTTGTGCTTTATGTCATGGGAGTATGAGACAAATTTTGGATGTCTTTGTTTTATTTAAAGTTTGAACACAAGGTCATAAAAGAAAAGGTTCCTCCAAGACCTATTCTGAAACAGAAATGTTCTAGGTAAGATTTTTAATACTCAATCAGTGGTTTGATGATGTCTCTTAGAATATAATTCTAGTGAATGCAGATGTCTAAATTGTGCCTTTTTTTAATTGGCTGTGTGTACATATATCCAAATTAGTGTTTTTTAATTGGCTGTGTGTACATATATCCAAATAAGTGCTTTTTAAAATGATTTTTATGGAAATTTAAAACTTAAAGAGAGCTAGTCTGGAATGATTAAATACTAAAAACTTGATTCAAATTTATTTATCTAACAGTTGAATTTATAAGTAAAATTATAACATTTGATGCTGTGAAATTACATGTTTGATTAATAGATTTGGCATTTATATAAAAACTGTATATTTAGCTCTCAACTGTTGAAACTTTAATTCCAAATGCATATTTTTCTTTTTCTCTCTCTTCAATAAACATTTTGAACCTATGACTACTTTTTACCCTGAAATACTTAATTGTATTGTCTAAATTACTTTTCTGTAGGTTTTTGTTTAGATCAAATAATTTGAATTCTTTTTTCTTTTCTTTTTGGTACTGCTTGTTTTTCTAAGAAGTGATTATTTTCATTTGTGACCAAGAAAAAGCAAAAGAAAAGATGAACAGAATTATTTGTTCAAGAGCATTCATTGTAACCAGATCAACCAAATTATAGTGTTGTGGGTCATTATTGAAATGTGAAAACTAGATTTTACTGTGGGATCTTTCTTAGAAATGAGAGTTTACATGAATTATTTTACTGAGTGATTTGTACTATTTCTGTTTACCGTATGAAGTAACTTACATGCATGGAAGTGATATGTATACAATCTGTAGACTGCATCCTTAGACGTCACTTAGTCGTCGAGGCTCTTGTTTTCTTGAAACAAGTGCCCTTATGTTGACAATACTGACAGCTTCTTATACTGAATGGAAGATGTAGGCCGGGCTCTAACTGGAAAGGAAAACTTTGAATGTATTGCTTGGAGGATGGTTTCTACAATAGTCAAAGGAAAACAGTTCATTGAATTAACACTAATTGTAACTGTTTATCAGCCTAGAGAAACTAAAACTGAAAGAAGACAAAAAGTTGAAGAGAAAGATTCAAAAACAAGAAGCAAAAAAATTAGCACAAGAAAGAATGGAAGAGGACTTAAGAGAAAGTAACCCACCCAAAAACGAAGAGCAGAAAGGTATGCAGAAGCCCGAGGCATGATAAGAATAACATAGTCTCGCTTAAGAGAACAAATAGAAGCATCTTACGGCCTTATGTTCTTCGTTATTGAACCGAAATAAAGATTTCAGTTAGTAGTTTAATACTATTACTGTCTTCCGTTACTCCACACGGAGTTGTGTCGGTGTGAAGAGCGCTGACTTTAGAAGCAGTACCCAGGAATTCCAGCACTAACCTGCTGTTAACTGTGGACAAACTGTCAGTTTCCTCATCTCGGAAGTGAAGGTGGACATAATGTCTGACCTGTGTGTTGTATTTACAGTGCCCTATAAATTCTGCCATACGGTTTAAGTTCCAAAATGTTGAGCTGTAAATTAGCTACTGATTATCTGTAATAATGCTAAATTCCATTTAAGAAGCAGTTCACAAAAGGTACATAAAGAGGACCTAGTCCAGCCTTCTACTTTACGCTTATCTTGTCTTCACTCCCCCATTAGCATGGGGGTGTCTCAGTAGGAATTTTACTGTTCCTGTGTACGTGTTGGCTGGTATGTTTATTTTCAGTTTTGAATTGATGTATGTTTTCTTCACATTCTACTCTTTGAATGTCTGTTTCCAAAGTGAAATATTTTTTACTTGCTTTGTTTTTTTTAATCTGGTGTTCCATTAACGTTTCTCAAATCAATCAAAACTATCATTCTGAAAAACCTTTCAGAGATTGTATTTTAACTTTGCATGCTTGATGACTAAGCGTATTTACTGTATATGAAGTTACGGTATCTGATGAGGTCGGGTTAGGATTGTTGAAGGAAGTGGCCATATTTTAGAGGAACTAAGTTTTAAATGCTGCAGTACGATGAGTTGTTTCTGCAAAACAATATAACCAATCTGAATTCTATTTTATATTATGTAATTTTACATGATTTCTAAGTACATATCGTTGTGCATTAGTCCTATTTATCACTTTATCCATTGTTATTTATCCTTAGAAACTGTAGACAATGTTCAGCATTGTCAGTTCATTGATGACAGAATTCTGCAGTGTATAAAGCAGTATGCTGACAAGATTAAATCTGGCATACGGAATACAGCCACACTTCTCAAAGAATTGCTTTCTTGGAAAGTTTTGAGCACAGAAGACTATACAACCTGTTTTTCTAGCAGAAATTTTCTAAATGAAGCAGTGGACTATGTTATTCGTCACTTGATTCAAGAAAAGAACAGAGTAAAGACAAGGATATTTCTGCATGTTTTAAGTGAGCTTAAAGAAGTGGAACCCAAATTAGCCACCTGGATCCAAAAACTTGATAGCTTTGGTATGTCCCTTTATATTCCAGAACAGTATACTTTAGTAGGAAGGGGAAGTGTAAGTCTCTGAGTCATTGTCATTTTTCTGTCATATAATTTATAACTTTAAATGCAGGACTATAAATTTGTATGTCCATCGATGGTAGACTGGACAAGGAAAATGTGGCACATATACACCATGAAATACTATGTCGCCATAAAAAATGATGAGTTCATGTCTTTTGTAGGGACATGGATGAATCTGGAAACCATCATTCTCAACAAACTGACACAACAACAGAAAATCAAACACTGCATGTTCTCACTCATAGGCGAGTGTTGAACAATGAGAACACATGGACACAGGGAGGGGAGCATCACACACTGGGGTCTGTTGGAGGGAAATAGGGGAGGGACAGCCGGTGGTGAGGAGGTTGAGGATGGATGACGTGGGGAGAAATGCCAGATACAGGTGATGTGGGATGGAGGCAGCAAACCACCTTGCCATGTATGTACCTATGCAACAGTCCTGCACAGTCTGTACGTGTACCCGGAACCTAAAGCACAATTAAAAAAAGAAGGGGAATGCTGTTGCAGTCGCAGCTACTTGGGAGGTTGAGGCAGATGATTGCTTAAGCTCAGGAATTTGAGTCCAACCTGGCAGGGTTGCGAGACCTATCTCTCAAAAATTTTTTTTTTAAATTTTTAAAAGCACTAAATATATGAAGGCCTTTAAGGAACAAAAAAATGATTACACAATTTTTAGGTTATTTTATATGTAGGTTATGATACGCTTTTTCAAAAGGTATAAACAATGGAATGACCAGTCAATAAAGACATCCAGACCACCTATATTAGACTAAACTGTTAATGTGTAGATGTGTGAACACTAAGCACAGGTGCACAGCCATGAGTGAATAACACATCCTGGAGTCTGCCCTCTGCTCAGGAGCTGGGTTAAGAAGAAAAATCTGTAATTCAGACTCTTTGAAGAAAAATTTAGAGGGAAGAGTGGATGAGACTAATTGCTCAGGGTCACCTAAGGCAAATCTGTATCTAGAGATTAAGAGAAATGTATCCTAGGGCTGGACTGAGCTATGGTAAATCACAGTATTATATAACTCTATTACTCTGTTCTGACTTGACTAATTTGGCTGGGAGAAGGGAAGAGTGAGCAAGACCCCGGCACTCCCGCAAAGCAGGCTCTTTGCCTAAGGCTCTGCAGGACTGTGGAAGGCAGCTGCAGATGCAGTTGTTGTGTAACACTAGGTAGGGATGCTTTGGGCACTATTTATCTTAGTGACTGGATAGCAACTGGTCTAGCATAACAGTTTACTCAGTTGGCCGCTGTTAGATAAGAGACTAAAGGGAGCCACAGGAAAAAGGCAGGGTCTTTTAGCAGAAGACCAGAGAAAGGGGCCTGCCAAGCCTCTGCTAGCCATCCCCCACCTGCCTGAATTTTTAGCAACATGGGGCTATTAGAATTTTAAGGTTTCAGAGATGATGTTGGTCAGTTTCTGCCAGAAGAGACAAAGTAACATGGCAGCAAGCTTAGCATAGACAGCTGAGCATTCCTGCTTTGAGCATGGATCCTCATGGATTTGAGGCCCCAGAAAGTTGCTTTTAAGTGATAAGATTGTCACTAGTGAATATCAAGTAAGCACATGATAAAGTTATTGCTTACTTTAACATGCTTTAGGAGCTACTCGGGACTAGAGAAGTAGCTTTGCCTGAGTTATGCTATACGGTGAAAACTGCCAACCACTGTGCATTCAGGTAAACATAGCACTTAAGCCTTCGAGCTCGCTGGCAGGAAAGGGTGAACGTGTCTTTTGATACAAACATGTTTATTCTGAAGATTAAAGGTATCATTTTAATAAGGATGTATGTATACTCTTTAAAGTAGCAATTTTTATTTAAAGTTGTGAGATGAGTTCAGGCGTGTTAATTAGTAAGGCTGTTCCTAGAGTTCTGAAGTAAAATGCACACTTATTTAAATAATAGATAAGGCAGTTTTCAATACTTGGAATTTTGCTTCTCATAAAACGTCTATAAGGTGGACTTACATCATGCGCATATTTCACATAAGAGAGGTCAGTTTATATGTTCAACAAAAGCTGGAGGGAGGAAAAGAGAGGAAGGGAGGGAGGGAGGGAGAAATAACAGAGTACTAGTGAGAGAGATTTGACATTTCAATAGTGAACACTGCCTGCCTGCATTCCCCACATTGAGTACAAGCTCTGACGTGGATAAGGAATGGGAATGTGCTATATCTTAATTGGGCTCTTGTAAATCTGCTATTGCGTGAGTATCTTCTACGGTTCCTGATTTTCCTGCAACATGATCTCTGCAAGCTAACTCTTTAATCTGGAAGAAAGCAGTCTAGGGTCATTTTGCCTGAGCAATCTCTGCTTCATTTGTTGACTTCATTTGTCAACTAAGGCCTTCAGAAGTGACTATTTGTATTGGAGGCATGATGGAGAAACTGGGCAGAGCCCCTTTTTGCTTTTTGGTGGCTGTTCATCAGGAGTGGGGCTTCACCGTCTTTTCAGTAGGCGTATGTATGAGATTACAGTCACCCTGTTTTCTCATTTGGAGAGTGGAGAATAAAAGCAAGCTTACTGACCACCTTGAATTTTGTAGAGGAGGGTAAGGACCCACATTTTGGGGAATAAGGAGCAGTTATTGTAGGTGTTGGGGAGCAGGTTTACCCATTTCCTCTTTTAGTGGCATTTGGGAAGATTTTGTATTATTGTTGATGTTTTGTTACTATGGAATCCATATTAAAAAAACATAAAATCTTGCAAGTTTGTACCAATTGGAATGAAAGTCATTATGAATTAGTGAAAACATTGTTTGGGTTTTTTTTTTTTTTTTTTTTTTTAGAGATGGGCTCTTGCCCCATCACTCAGGCTGGAGTGCAGTGGTGCCATCATAGCTTACTGCAGCCTTGAACTCCTGGGCTTAAGCAGTCCTCCCACCTCAGCCTCCCGAGTAGGTGGGACTACAGGCATTCACCTCCATGCCTGGCTAATTTATTTATTTTTTTATTTTTGTAGAGATTGGGGTCTTGCTATGTTGCCAGGGCTGGTATTGAACTCCTGGCCTCAAGTGAGCTTCTGGCCTTGGCTTCCCAAAGTGCTGAGGTTACAGGCGTAAGCCACCATGCCTGGCCTCATTATTATATTTTTAGAGGAATTTAATGCCATACTTTCATATCCTAGGTCTAATAAAGGTAACTATGATAGTAGAGGGCTTTGGCCCACATTATTCAAATCTAATAGATAAGAATTATTATAATCAGCCTAACAATGTTAAATGGTGTTTCTGAAAAGCATAATCGCTTGAATGAATCTGTTCTCAACTATTCAAATGTTTTTGCTGAAAATATAAGCAAATTGTAGTCAGTTGCTTTCAGAGATGTGAGCCTGAATCTGACTTTACAGTAAGTAATCTCCTTCCTCTTCTGATTTGAGTGTTGTTTTTATTGCAGGCTTAGATGCCACAGGACCTTTCTTTTCTCGTTACGGAGCATCTCTTAAACAGCTTGATTTTAGCATCATGACTTTCCTCTGGAATGAGAAATATGGTCAGAAACTAGCCTCTATTGAAGGAAAGAAACTTGATTATTTCTATGAGCCAGCGTCATTGAAGGAAGCCCGTTGTTTAATATGGCTGCTGGAAGAACACAGAGACAAGTTCCCAGCACTGCATAGTGCTTTAGATGAATTCTTTGATATAATGGGTATGTAGACTGAGTTTAGATTTACTTTACATTTAATCCTAAGGGGGAAAAAATCTGTGAAGGACCTATGGTATTTAAATATATAACAAAGAAAACGGTGAAAATTATTATGGTACAGCCAGTTTATGTGGGGAAGTTAAGGATTAACAGTTGCGATTTTTTTAATGTCATGAAGCTTTTTTACTTTATCAGTTACAGAGATACTCAAATGTGGGTATGTTATGCTAACAATACACGAGGTTCTTCCCGTCTTCAATATTTTGACAGCATCATGGGAAAGATTGCATGTCACATTGACAGAATCTATTAGCAAGCAGTTTGATTTGTAGCATTTTAGAAAACATTGGCCTGCAGAAGTAGATGATGTTTGCAGAATCTAGAATGGATAGCACGTTTTAATGGGAAGAGTCTGGAACTGGGGATCAGGAAAAGTAGTTGTGGCACAGCTTCTTCCTTAGTTTAGTTCATTAAAAACCTGTGGGCCCAGTGCTAGGTGTTGAGAAGGAATTCAGAAATGCGTACACTTGTCTCTGCCCTCAAGAACCTTGTGTTCTAGAAAAGAGAGTAAGATGCATGCACTAATGACAGTAACATGGTAGTAAGCTCAATGAGGGAGGGCCAGAGAAAGTGCCAAGAGCATCAGCGGAAGGACCCAATATTTCCTTTCTCCCTGGGAGAGAGGAAAGCCGTAGTGCAGGGGTAGAGTCTCAGATGGGCTGTGAACGTGAAAGTGGAATTAGAAAGCTGGGCGTTAGGGCTTATTTGGAATTGGGGTGCCTGTTTAGGTAATGG